GAACAGGGTAATTCTGATGGTCCATTGGTACCAATGGTACGATTGGTACCAACAGAAAATGATATCATTCCAATGGTTCTACTGGTGAATATTCATCTCATTAAGGGCACTTCGGTTATCGTGGGCTAAGGATACTCGCTTAATATTCTGGAAGAAGCCAATAGTGACAAGGAGACATCTGCTGTTTTCCACCACAACGGGTGCAATCCTGAAATCATCAGTACATTGATTCTTCTTGCTCAGTCATGGGCCTCATCGCAAGCTACAGCCGAGAAAAGAGCCCGCCAAATACAATTTGTCAACAACAACATTGACAGTAGAAGACATCTATTGGTTTTACTACGACCTTGATTATAGGAAACTATTGTACCTCAAAGAGTTACCATGACAAACCCCACGACAGCAGTGAAAAGTGACTTCAGTCACTTGAATATAACACGGCTCTTTTAGGAGCCACCAAATACAATACAAAGTTATAACCAATATCATGATATAACCACCCTTTTTGAAAGCCCTGCATTGAACACAGTGTTTTGGTTTAAACACTTCCATGCATAACAGGCCAGAGCCCCGATTTTAGTGCGCGCAGGAGGAGGCCTAATCTCCACAGCAACCACCGCAGATCGGTTTCCAATAACAGACAAGCGTTACTTTCGTAATTAGTTTTAAGCATTCCTCCAGACACCTTTGGAGAGCGCCGGACACATTGCCTGTCAAGGAACTTTGTACTTCTGATTAAATGAACCAGACATCTCAAGGAAACGCGAAATTTGATCAGACTATTTGGGATTATAAATTCATTTCACGGTCGAAGTCGATCTTCGCGGCTGGCTTCGCAATTGATAACGACAGTTTTCTCGCCGTATTTGGATTCAAATCGGCTTGATACGCTTTCAGTGGCTTTTCAAGTGCTTTCTTTTAAGAAAATAGTGCTCCGATGGCTTATTTAACTTCTTTCAAGAGTAGTATGCCCTGTCAACATTGGTGACCTTCGAAGCAAAAACGGCGAGTCGGCGTATCAAGTTTTTATTGTGGAGCCACAAGTAGGAATACACTCTCTGCTGGCACAATTCTTTCTCCGGTTTGGAAGGAACTCTGCGTGGAAAAGACCCTGACCAAAGAAATTTTTAAATCTTCTCTATTTGAACGTTTGAGAAAAGCCGTCAACAATGCACATTTTATAGTCGCCGGTGTAAACGAATGCGAGAGCTCGAGCTCTACTTCACATCTCCTTGAGGAACAGCAAGACCGATTATCTGATTCAATGGACGACCTTTTTTATTAAACGGCGAAGGATTCAAGTCTTTTTTCTCTGGCTTAAGACGATGTAAGCGTCGATGTGCCTCCAGTGACAAATCACTCTCCAAAAAGTCCGCCGAGCACTGTTGAAATCCCGCCAAAATCTTATTCGCTGGCAGGAGCCCAAGACGCTGGATTACTCCAGATATTCTAGCTTCCACTTCAACATCTTCGTGTTCGCTTGGGCGAACTGTATAATCAACGTCACAGATACAGTATGGTTTCTATATCAGTCATTTTAACCTCCTTGAAATGTCAATCATAATCCAAAAATTATTACTACGGGTTACCTTTGTATTCTTACTTGTTTTTTACTTAATAGGCCAAATTATAGGGCTACCCTCTCCCTCAGAGCTTACAGGCGGCGCGCCCAAGATTCTGAGGTGATGGTAGTCTCTCTTTTGAAATGTCGGTCATTTATCCAAATAATTTTTGTAGGTGATTTTTGTAGTGTCATTTGTTTCTGAAATAGGCCAAATTATGGAGCTACCCTCTCCCTCAGAGGTTACAGGCGGCGCGCCCAAGATTCTGAGGTGATGGTAGTCTCTCTTTTAAAATGTCGGTCATTTATCTAAATTATTATTGTAGGTAATTTTTGTAGTGTCATTTGTTTTTGAAATAGGCCAAATTATGGGGCTTCCCTCTCCCTCAGAGCTTACAGGCGGCGCGCCCAAGATTCTGAGGTGAAGGTTGTCTCTCTTTTAAACTGTCAGTCGTCAACCGTAGTATTACTGAATTTTCATTTTCCAGAGTTCATAGTGGTACCTTCTTTATAGTTTTACGTGATTTGTGGCAAAGACAAGACCAGGCTAACAAATTTATTCTACTTTATGCGTGGTGCGACAATCACCGTGGCTGACTGGCCTCCAAAGTTCCTTTATAATTTGGACGCTTCTCAGGAGTTCCTTCACTCCTTGTAATCCAGAATTGGCGATTCTCAGCAGCTTGAAGCTCTTGCATTGCATCAGTTGTTCTTTGGACGGCGACCTTTTCTCGTCCCGAGTACAATATCGATTCTCGATTCTCGACTCTCGATTACCGTATATTGCTCGTGCAAGGTTTCGGCAACGGGACCAGCACTAAGACCATTGCAGGAAGACTGAAGAAGAGTGAAAGGGTGGCTTCGGCGCGTTACCTGTCTGATGCTCGGTATATCACTGCCAAACTGCGCAACAGAATGCGCGAAAAACCCCTCCGGTACTTGAAAAAAAAGAAAAAAAACCTGAGCGATGTAATTTAGTAACTTACTCATGGTGTTCAGCTTCCGGTTTATTCAGCTTATTGCCAGTTGTAGGCAAAGTTCACGCGCACATTATCGCACTCTAACTGGGTCGATTGTGAGGAAACTCTTATGTCAGTCATTGACTAAAAACCCCCGCGCGTTAAGCCTTTGTGCGACGGACGTCCCTTAGAAATATAAATTGCCCACACTGATCGCCAATTCTACTTGTAAAGTGTTGCTGATTGAGTTGTGCAATGTATTCTAGAGTGTAAATTTAGTACTAACCTCGCAGACAAGGATGCAATGAGACACTTACTTGCGTAGTTAGGCCCACTATCCATTGGGCAAGCATCCCTTTTATTTTCTTTCGATAGCCTGTCCATTTACTAACCTTTGGGTACAGAAACTAGCTGCCTCTCGCTGTGCCAAAACTTGATAGTTTTGGCGTTCAATATTCTTAACTGGTGCTCACAAAACACCGGGACTGCATCGTGCGCCATTGGCGCTTTGGTACCCTGCGAGCTTTGGTTCATCGCGCTTTGAAAGATGGAAATTTTGATATTCCCGCGTAAAAGAAGACCGATAAAACGTGTCTTTCATTGACTACAGTGAAACGCCCGGAAATGAAGGATGTTTTGAAAGAAACGGAAAAACTGATAAAAGTAAATATTTGTTTTGATAAGTGAAATTAATGAGAAATAACCATAAACTAGTTTTGTTGTTTTGTTTTTTAAAAGCGGTTTGTCTGGTACCAGATTTGTACAATTACTTTCAATCAAACATGGATCGGGTTTTGTTAATTATGACAGAATGTAATTAAAAAGCATTATGTTGACAGCTACAAGGCACATGCTTGCCTTAAGCTGTGAGCATCCCGCCATGTTTTAAACAAAGGGCCTCTGACCAAGCCGGCATTCTAATCCGCCACAAATATGTGAAGCACGCGTCTTTCAAAGTCGCCTAGTACTTAAAATCGGGGCTCTGGCCTGTTATGAGATAATGACATTGTGCTAAGTTTCAGAAGTTAATTTTCACAGTGAGTTCAGTACAGTTGTTAAAACCTGTAGCCTCAATATCACTTTGTTAGTTTCGCACCTGTGCACGCAACCCTTGCCAGCCCTTCAGCTACTCCCATCACTTTTCAGGCTAACCAGCGAGTGTCATCATAATTATCCAGCCACCTTCCAGGCACAGTAAGCATGTGTCCCAGCCTGTCCCATGAGCTCCACTGCAATCCATCAAACCAAATTTTCCAGAGCCAAAGCTTTCTTTCAGTGGACAACGTATGCTTTTGCCTGTGCCAACATTCTGTTCAGCAAGGAAGAACTAGCTAAAGGCAACACAGGAGAGAAGTAAGAGGATTTCAACAGCTAGACTGCTATAAAATGCACCTGATTATGTCAACTCTGCAGCACAAGTTTGATTCGCCAGTCTTTAAAGAACAATGGGAACAAGTGAAAGGAAAAATTAACTCCAAGCACCAAGGAAAATGAAGGACACTAGTACAGAGGTTAAAAAAAGCAAACGTTATGTAAAACCCTTTCTTTAGTTGCTTTTTTTAATCGACTTACATATGTGGATTTAGGGCACATTTCTTGTCGTAAAGCATTTTCAAATTTCATTAACATTACCTATCTTGTTAGATAATTATTCCACGAGCACGCATTGGATATGAGATGGTAAATAGCCAGCGAGACGCGTGGCAGCGAGTTGGCTATAATCATCTCATATCCAACAAGGGCGAGTGGAATAATTATTTTATTAAAAACGCCCCCAAGACTAGACAAATCTTTCCGAATTTATTTTGTAAGAAAAAACCGGATGTTACAATATACAGATAATTTCCGGTTGAACTCATTTCATGACATGTCACATGTCTATCAAAAACTGTCAAATTCTGCGCGCGTTGTTCTGAATGAATTATAAAATGCGACGATCAAAATACGTCAAGTTTGTCAAATTTACGTTGCTTGAATAAGTCAAAAAATTTTCTGTTAATGTTTACAATACACAGTTTAACCGCTTCCGCTAAAATTATTGTGAACTTGCACATTGGTGCAGTTGTAAAAGTTAAACTGCGGTGGAAAGCGATGCAGCCCTTGCTCGCCATAGTTTTCATGCATGTTGTTGGAAACCACCACTTGATTATGCAGGACAAGAACTGACGCTGGGAATGCTTGAATTGCCGTGGTGGATGAGTTTGTAGCCTGTAAGTCCAGCTGCCGTCCTGCTGTGGTTTCTTTGTCAACTGAAGTGGCTTTGTGGCCATGAAGGAAGGAGCTGAGCGCTTCCAACATCTCCTTTTGCTGGTCGAGGGAAGGTCGATCGTTGTAACTTTTGATTGAATGGTCGGACTTGTGGCCGGTGACTGATTTAATGTGCCTTGTCTCACAGTTGTTGTCAGGAAGGACGGTCACTGAAGTTGCCCTGAGGTAAGGCTGGATCCCTGCTCGAGAGCTCATGAACTTCTACATCGAATCTAGATTATGTTCACTCCAAGAGGCGAATTGCAGTACCACACTTTATCTTCATCACGATTAAAGCTTCTTGCTTTTTCCCATGGACGCTGAAAAAGGCAATCTAACTTAGGATTCAAGTGAGACAAGTAATTTTTTATGGTTTTCACCGGGCATTTGGCAGATTCTGGCACAGAAAATATTTTCGCATCCGACTCATCTTCGGCATCGGAAAGGCCACCTTGATGGTTTTCCGTCGCTGGCAACGAGCCGGGAAACTCTCTGTTGAGCTCAAAATACTCTTCTCCTTGTGGAGTAGCTCTGAGGGCAAGCATGGCAGGTTTCATATCTCGCTGATTTTCTCTGCCACGTCTTCCGAAGTATATGCCAAGGTAGAACCACACTGTTCTTTGAAGCTGTGCTGGATCTTTGGTGTCCGCCGGACCAAGTTCACCACTTTGGAAGAGCTTCTCAACTTGCTGTTTCGAGATGACCTTTTTATGCACATCACTAATTTTTCCAGACTTCTTAGTTCCTTGACAAATGCGTCTAAGATCTTGTTTGCTTCAGTAAAAGCAGGGCTGGCAACGATAGAAAACTGTTTGGAGTGTGGAGGCATGCGAAGGTACCTGTCAATGGCTGCACGAATTGCCTTCAAGGAAGATGACTTGTAAAATTGACCATCTTGTTTTCTTGCGGATGTATAAAAACTTTTTAGGCAAGCATTGAGTTCCTCTTTATTCATTTCTTCGATTGGTGTAACACTAAATTTGTTCCCAGAAGTCAAAAGCCAGTCTGAAAAGGTTAGTGAAATGTAACCAATTAACTTAATTAATTTGTAAATTGTCTCAACTTGCATTGTTTTGCTTCGCGTTATTAAACTATAAACACAGATGCTTAAATTGTCAAAATAAAGTTTTGAAGTTGCTACCTTGAAATATTTTCATGTCATACTTTGTGGCTTTCTTTGTGCTCCCTGGTGTTGCGTTTTGTAACAGTTCAAGGACTTCTCTTTCATTTAACTCCGGAGCGAAGCGATTTTCACCGGCAGCCATTGTTTCCTCAGCAAAAATTTTTTAGCTCCCTTTTAATTTTAAGCTGACGCGTACACTTATCATATTTGTAGCTTATGGTACGTTAGCTCATATACCATGATAGCTAAGCCAATGAAAAGTCTTGAACTGCATTATCGAATGATTCAGTTTTTGATAATAACCATTAGATAAGTGTTTTCTCAGTTTTACTATTTAAAATCAATGAATATTTTCAGATAAATTACATTGCAAATCTCTGGTACGGTCAACATTTCTTTTTTTTTTCAAAAAGAAAACATGAAGGCCACGCAATGACACAGAAACCTGACAGTTAACTCTCGATTGCATTACAGATGGTGATAAACAAGGAAACTGTGACTTAAAAGAGTCTCAAGTTTATAATTTCAAGTAAGTTCTTTCATTCAATATTTCCAAGTACTTTTCAGAGGGTCTGTAAAAAACAATTAGCTAATTTTAGGGCAACTAAGGCTAATTTCTTAGGCCATTTAACTGGTTTAATTCTCTTGCGATCAGGATGGAGTTGAGTCCTACATTTCCTGTGAGAAAGTTCCGTTCAAATTAGTTGATCAAGTGGAGAACTGGGAAATTCTGCCATCCTATCAAGATAATGAAGATCTCCTTCGACTTCAGTCCTCTGTTTGCACAGATAATTTGTGACAGGATTCCTGCATTCAAGTCTTTCAAAGATGTTGTTCTCAGGCATATTCCCCACAAACACACTGGTGCAATGAAACAGAAATCTGAACGGGTTATTTGCCATTTTTAACCAGTTAAGCAACATTTCATGGTCGAAATTCCCTTAAGACATATTCCTCAATTTTTGTTCTTCATTATTATTATTAGGATTATTATATATTACAATTATTGTTTTTATTTGAAAGCAGTGAGGCAGCATAAAGACTGCTATTTTATTTCACTAATGCTAGAAATGCTTTCTCCTTGCTACTGGCTTGTGCACTTAACAAAATTAATGTAAGCTTCATTAACCTTTTTATTTGATAACAATGTCTCAATATTTGTACTGAATGCCTGTGGCAGCACTTTGGGACTTAACCAAGCTATTTCCAATTAACTAATTGAAATTAACTCATTTAAAAAAGCTGCAAGTGCGGCCGAGTTTTCTACAGTCTTAACCGGGTTCTAACCAGATTATGTAAACAAAGCAAGATCAATCGATTTTCTTAACTAGGTTAGGTTTTTTTCAACCACCTTGCAAGGTAGTTTAATGCAGGTGGTAAAGGCCACAATACCTCTTTGGACTTGAGGTTAGAACACTTACGACACTTAAATAATCTCTTGAAGAAGATCCTAAGGTGTCTACGTGTCAATGTGATGGAAAAGTCAGCTAAACGATACAGCTAAGCGATTTCAATAATTAGAACAAATGCTGCACAAGATTGATGCAGAGATAGGTGTCAAGGAGCCTCCTGGGCACAACATCACAGTCAATAATGACCCAGGATTTTGCAGCCCTTATGAAAGAAATACACAAAAGAGGGGGGCTTTCCTCTTTCAACCAAACTTCTGAACGTAACTATGACAAATTTCCAGATTTTCAAAGGAACATCTTAAGTGGGCTGGACTTCAATCAGCTTAACAAGTGGTTGAACAGTCACAAGAAAGACATGTCCTGTCTTCAAAAGTGAAGGACTTGGAAGGTGGAATGAACTGTTTGAATTACAAATGGACCCCTGATTCAGAAGAAAAAAATGAGAGAGAGAACAACCTATTCTCAAGCATGTTTGTTTTCAAGACCATTTAAAGGCCCATGTTCACCCAAACAGAATTGCGCGTTTGTGTTTTTGTTTCGAAATGCATCTTCTGTCAAATGCAGTGTTTTGATTGGCTTCCACTTTTGAGGAGCATTGCATGACAATACTAAAAACGACTGCGAGGGAGACTACCTTTTTTCACGCTTGGCCGAAGCATAAAGAGACAGTATCAAAGAGGCCAGTAAGACTTTAATTCTTTTCCAAAAGGAGGAAGATAAATTGCCAACTTCGTTAACTGTCACCGCAGAAAGCAGTTCAAGATTTAAACTAGTAGTGAATGGGTATGAATGCTTTGTTGAGTCCGATAAACACAACAAAGATCACAAAATTACGAAATGTCTAAGCACCAGGTGAGATTTTCTTGAAGCCTGATTCGACTGTGAAATGTTTTGATTCCTTAATCTATCATTTTGTGTTAATTCTTAGGAAGCTTAGGTATCTGTTCTTGTAAGAATGAGCAAGAAATTGTGTTTGCAAAGCGTCAAATCAGCACTGCGTACACTCTTGTCACTGCAATCGCTGTGTTACACTTTCTTTAGGTTTTGCTGAGGATTGGTTTGCTAATAATAGTTCTTGCTACTTTAGAGTTTTAATCGTGATACGCCAGGTGCTAAGTTTACGTTAAGGATATCACTCGCTTCATAGCTTAAATTACATAAACTATTGTTCATGTTAGATTGACTTACTTGTTTTGCTTTCAACTGATTCAACAGGACCTCTGTTTACAATTGAACATTCAATGTAGAAGGATCACGGCAAACATGGTGTCCGTAGAATTTGCAGCCAAGAGCTTCTTTCCCATATGTCCAGAGATTAATGTACTTCGCCGACCCCCATCGAAGCAGTCTTCCAACCGTACGTTTTGATGGCACCGCCATGGAAAGTTCTGCAGTGAAACAAACACTCAGAAACAAAACGGCTCGATACCAGACCAAAATATCCAAAAAGATGTAAAGAAAAATACCAAGAGAACCTGTTTAGACTTTCTTTTACACCAGATTTAACAAACTATGGAAGATTTACAAAGACTGACTCTACACACTGAAGGCAGCGATTTTCAACTACGTGAAATGTTTTTCTGGAGTACAGGGTGCGCAATGCATCTAGGGTGAACATGGCCCTTTAAAACAATTCTGATGTACTGTCATAAAACATAAAATACACTGCTGTTAAAGGTTTTCCTTCAGCTGTAGCTTGCTCGATGCCTGGACAAATTTGGCACAAATCACCCCTGCTGCTACCCAATTCTGGCAGCAGGGTCGATTTGAGAGAAAACCTGAAACTGAAATCTGTGCATGAATAGACGGTGTTTACTTAACTGCGTTGATTGGCAGGGCTAGCTGAATCAAAAATATGTCCGATATTCTAAATGGTGCACTTCAACAAAGTCAAAAATGCTTTCTCTAACAGAAGTAATTTATTACTATAACTCAGAATCTGTGAAAAAGTCACTGTCACTGCCTTCGCTGCTGCTATAGATTCAACCATATTCAAGGCCAAATGTCTCAACAAGTTGATTGTCAGCGCAAGTCAGTGTCTCATTATTAACCTCAAAATCTTCAAAAGAATCTGTAACCACATGGATGATGCTACAAGCATGCTTTTTTAGGAAACAGGCAAATTCTCCATTATGTAATCTACATTAAAAATGTACTTACAATGGGACAGCACTGTCTTTTTTCAGATTATCGCTAAATCCAGTTGTGCACTCAGGAAACAGGTAATAGACTGAGCACTTAGAGAAGAGTTCCCTTTGCCTGTCCCTTAACAATTCTTCAAGCAGTACCCTCTGTTGAAAGGTAGTCTTTCTTTTCTTCAAAGACTCTTTTGGAGGAAACCCTCACTTGAGAAATGTTTTGAGTAAACGGTATATCAATGTTGCACTTCAAAAACAATAAGGTTAATAATTGACTTTATTTTTCAAACTCCATTTGACAATCTCCCTTTTAACAATGGAAATTCACATGCAATTGAAGACGTAAAAGAATTGCTGACCAGAAGAAACAGAAGGTGGTCTGCAGGGAATTATGTTGCTCATTACCAAGTCAGCTGTCTAGTCGAGGTAAATCACCAAGTAATTAGTTCCTGAAACCCACATTCATATGAGAAGGCAGGTTTAGCATGAAGAAAGTAAACTCATTATACTACATTTATCTTTATTACTTTATCATACTTTAAACTTTATTAAGAAATAGTTTACCAGTAATAGTAATATTGTGACATGTTTTAATGAACAGTGGGGTTTTTTGTGTTTTTTACCTGAAGTGTGTAATAATTTTTATTATATGCAGGAGGCAAAAGCAAGCAAATTGGTCTCAACTGAACAGGATTTGATAGTAGGAATTGACCAAAAACTGGACAAGATCATAAACATTCTTGAAAGAATTGCTTTGCTGTCTAGTTGAGTTAAATCAGCAAGTAATTAGTTACAGAATCATACATTCATATGGGAAGAATAAATGTGTTATGAAACTTTATACCGGTAATCACCTTCACTGTTAAGTGCCATGAAGAATATTGTACCCCATATAAAAGAATGATGCCACTAAAGATAATTGTTCATCATCGCTTCTTTCCATTTCATTCATCATCAAAGTTTATATGGGCTGTAGTGCCATAATTATATAATGCACATTTTTCCGTTCCATGAATTCTGCACTACTGAGTCTTGTTGTTAATAAAATCTTTACTTCGTTTAGTCAAGTATTTTTTCCTGTACTTATTGTACTTGTACAGTGTGGCAAACTTGAAAAAAACTGCCAAAGACTTTAAGTCTGATGTTTGGTGTTAAGGTGCCTTTCTTTGTAAAGCTCAACAAAAGGATGAACTATCAATTTTCTTCAAAAAGCAACATAATTCTAAGCTTCATTGGCCTTTTTCAGCACAAGCTAAAAAAAGGTAAACTTTGCATCATTTCAGCCTAGTTCCAAAATAAGTTCACCTTGAAAAGGACACAATTCAAAGACAACAGCCACATAAACCAGTTAACCACAAGAACATTTAAACTAGAAGATAAAGTCTCTTGAGCAAATGGTATTGTTGATGCAAGCAACAAATCCATTAGTTATCACATTATAAAGGGTGAAGAAGGTCTCTGTACAAACATGAATATACACAGATATCCAACACTGTGTTTCCTAAGAAATTCACTCAACCCAGCATCAAAATCACACCAATAACCACCGCACTGTTCCCCTGCTTAGGGAATATTAAATTTGCCAAACGTTTGTGCAAAATACTGAAGCTACTAAGTGTTTTACACTTTTCATAAATAAACTTCACTGCTAACACCTTCATACTGTAACCTACATTAATAAAACCTTTAAAGCACAGTGTAACAGCTTTAGCCACTAGGCAAGTCAGAAGTCTCAAATTTAATTTCATAAGGGCATGTTTGAAAAAAGAGCAGTAACATATTTGTCACTTTTGGTAAAACTGCAAACTAATCTTATTAAGCTTCGAAACTTCAACTTAAAAGTGGGAATTTCTGTCCTTTTTTTCTTTTTAAACGACTAGCACAATAACTAGCCCTGTTGTTGTAAAAAGTAAACCAGTCAAAGAAAGAAAAATTAAAAATCAACTACATAATCAAATCAAAGTAAAGCGCAAAATTAATTATCTTTGACACCTAACACTATTTATTTTCTTTACTTATTTTCTTTCTTACAGAGAAGTAAGATATGCGAAAATTTAGCTGAATCACAAGCAGCTCCATCACAGAGAACTTGAACATTCCAAGTAACAAAAGATACATCCACAATAAGAAAAATGAGTTCCACTCAGTCTATCAGTGGAGGCGTTTTACCATGGGAAGTGCCCACACAAAAGATAGCTGGAAACCCTCATAGTTGTTGCTGAGGCAAATGGAGGGTAGGTAGAAAACAGAGGTCCTGCACTTATGGAATGTTTTCTACTAATTTAAATGTGGCCAAATTACAGTTTTATCTAAATATGATAGCTCATCGTGAAAGATGAAAAAAGGAACTGTGGCCAAAG